AGACCCCCCCCCCCCCCCCCCCCCCCCTCCCCCCAGCCGCACCAAGTAAGTGTCCCGTTGCGGTACCGGCACACTCGGATCGGTCCCCTCCTGCTGCCGTTGTGTGTTCGTGGAGCTAGAACAGGGGTGGGTAATAATTTTTGGCCGGGGGCCACTTCAGAAATTGTTGAGGTGGCTCGGGGTTGGAAGGGGGGGGGTCAGAAAGCCTCTGGGCTGCCCCACCCCCAGACCATAATTGGTTGGGGGCACCCCTCCCCTTCCCATTAGGCATCCATGCCCCTGAGAGGGCAGGAAGAGGCTCTGATTGGACATGGGGGTTACGAGGCCTCCTCCCGCCCTACCCCCCCACCCTGCACACAGCTTACGGCACTTTGAAGTGCTGCATGCTCCTGCTGCTGCCAGCCAATCGGGGAGGGGGTGTGTCTGCATGACGTCTCCACCTACAGTGCTGGAGGTAACTTCAAGCCCTGATTTGCCCACCCCTGTGCTAGGGACTGTCACGCTCCCTGTGTGTGTGTGTCAACAAGGATTGTCCCTACAGTGGCTTTAGTGGACACGTAATTTGCATTCCCCACTCAGGTGGTGCAGCCAGGACCTGTGCCCAGTGCACTCGGCGGAAGAAGCTGGCTGTTACGATGCCAGGGCGGCTTCTCTGGACAGCACCTTGGTTTATGAGAAGCCCAGTTTTGGAAGCAAGCTCTGAGGTCAGTGAAGCCGAGAAAAATCCCCGTCGCTTCAGAAGAGCAATGACGTTGCCGAATCGGTGGAGCGACGCTCCACAAAGAGTCTCACGGGTGGGAATCTTTCGGGACGCGCTCACCGAGTTTTGGGCCAACACTGGGCGTCAAATGCGCATAACGAATGTAGGAAGAAAACTCGGACGCGCTAATGTCTGGCTGGCGATCCCAACCCGTCGCCAGAGGCTGCGGATGTGTGTTCCTAACCTCCGTGAATTTAGCTAGCTCTCTTTTGAACCCCGTTGCAAGTCCTGGTCTTCGCATCATCCTGCGGCGAGGAGTTCCACAGGTTGACCGTGCGCAGCGGGAAGAAATGCTTCCTTTTGTTTGAAACCTGCTACTTATTCATTTTGTTTGGCGGCTCCTAGTTCTTATGGGAGCAAGGAAAGAACTTTCCACTTTTCCTTCTTCGCTTTCTCCATACCTGTCGGGTGCGTCTAGACTGGCACGATTTTGTGCAAAATCTTGCCGCCTGTCTACACTGGCCGCGAGCATTTGCGCAAGAACGCTGACGTTGCACTGTACAAAATCAGTGCTTCTTGCGCAAATACTGCGACACTCCCGCTTAGGGATAAAGCCTCTTGCGCAACAGGCCAGTGTAAACAGCCACGTTAATTTCTTGCGCAGGAAAGCCCGATGCCTAAAATGGCCATCGGAGCTTTCTTGCGTAAGAGAGCATCTACACTAGCACGGATGCTTTAGCGCAAAGGCACATGCCAGTGTAGACGCTCTCTTGCGCAAATACTTTTAGTGGAAAAACCTTTCCGTTCGTGGAAAAACCTTTCCGTTAAAAGTATTTGCGCAAAATCGTGCCAGTCTAGACCCAGCTGTCATGATTTTATAGACCTCTATCCTATCCCCCTTTGTTGTTTCTTTCCTAAAGTCCCTGGCTACGTCTAGACTGGCATGATTTTCCGCAAATAAAAGTTTTCCGTTAAAAGCATTTGCGGAAAAGCGCGTCTAGATTGGCACGGACGCTTTTCCGCAAAAGCGTCCGTGGCCAAGCTAGACGCACTTTTCTGCAAAAAAGCCCCGATCACCATTTTCGCGGCCCCCTCGGACGGGGCTTCTCAAAGTCTTCGGCCCATGGCCCACCAGCCTCAACCCCACCCTTTCCGCGACCCCCCGTTGCTCATGAACCTCCCCGGGAATTCCACAATCGTA